AAAAGCAGTGGAGCACGCTGTTATTCGAGCCAATCCATGCCGACTCTTGACTATTCTAATAACGAGAACAGCATCGTTCATACATAGTCGAATTCCTTCGGCTTATTATCCCAGTCAGCAGCCCCATCGAATTGCCGTATTTCATGTCATTCATGCTGCAATACTTCCAGGCTATAAAGATCTTAATTGACCACGGGTCAAGATAATTACTGCTCAGCTATGTCATATTGTTTCGAAGTGCTGTATTTATGAGATGACAGAATGTTGAAGTCGCGTGTGCAGCCTAGACGCCCGGATGTTTTGGATTATTATTTTTGAAAAAGGAAAGGGATATGATGTCAGTGTAGATATGCAAAATAATTGTGCAGCTAGTGCTTGAAGTAAATAACAGACAAGAGGTTTCTAAAAAAATCTTTGCGAACTGAAAAACTTTCAAATCACTGAAATTTCAATTCTGCTGTTGAAGCTTGTCGGGATGATGGGATGGGAGCTTTAGCAAGCCTTGTAAAAGGTTAGAATTCCAGAAAAAGAATGTTCACGTTCGAAAGCTACAGTTGCATAAAATAATGCATATAAATATTTATGTTTTACGTTGTATTTCTCAAGACCAACATATGTTCTTAAAACACAAGGGTTTCTTAGTTCCAACTTGGCACAATTGCCACAAAATTCTTAAGTCATTATGAAGGGGTGATTAATTTCTCCTATCTTGTGATGCCCTTCGCAGTACTGTACAGTACCAGAATTTATTGCCATATAAATGGGCTCGTCAAGTTGCATAGCGTCTTATTTGAGCAGCGTTCACTGGGTTTAGCGTCACAGTTGTACTTGAGTGCTCCGTCCTTCACTAATCGTCTTCTCACCTGTCCTTTCTAGATATCTTTCCATGAATCTATTAACATAAGCAAATCTACCGTATCACATCGTACTATATCAATATCGCAGTCATAAAAGGTTTCCCGCTCCTTTTTTTCTTATTGGGAAAAGCAAGGAAGCCTAGAAGCCCTGCTGGTAGAGGATTTGTGCTAATCCTCTTACTGACGAACTTCTGGACTGAGAATAAGTCGAAGAGGGCAGCATTTTGCTCGAATGTCCATAACATGATGTAAGACTTATTGTTAGGATTGACAGGTGATCTGACATCATCTGAATGACAGTAATAGCCACATGAATGGGAACATTGTCTGGATGGGAGTAGTAGAGTGTTTGTGGCTATTAGGCTACGTTTTCGGCTGGTTGAGCACACACATTGTTGCTCGACACTATCGCAATGTTAATCTGTAATTACTCGACCTTGCCGTGTTTGTGGTGCTTTGTCATCAGGGCTATGGTATTTACCTGACAACGTCTTGCCATATGTAACAGGTCACTCTATCACGTATTTTTTCTCACATGAAACAATGCAACAATGAAGGCACAGACATTAAGTAATGGTTTCATGTCGTGCAAGAGAAGGCTTGAGGTGGAGGGAGGAAACATAGCTTTTTCATAAGCCTATGTCACGAAAGAAATAGAAGCTAAATATTTTATTTTAACAAAGTAGATCCCAGCAAAAAAAATATCTATATTTTTTTTTACAAAACGAAGGGCGAATATATGTATGGTAGAACGGGGCGCAAGCTTTATTTATGTAAAAATATTTCTTGACAAAGTGGAACCGTTAAAGAATTTATTGCTTGGAGATTTGTAGCTCAAAAAGTGGATGCCTGATGGCAAACTATGAAGAAACCATACGTGATGTTAGATGGATAAATACGATGTGCGCACCTTTTTTTTAGCTTAGAAAAAGAAAATTACTTTTAAAATCAGTTTAGGGCACGCTTAGTAGTGGACTGAGCTATACAGTAGCTTCTCATTAGCTCTGAAGGACATATATCATTGAGAGGATCTAAATAGACTATTCTTTAAAAGAATGACCAGTTTTTTTCTGCAGCATACCTACAAATCAAAATTATATAAGGTGGAATTAAACAGGTATGACTGAATACGACAAAAATGTGAATGCATCTCTTTTTTGATCTTTTTCACATTTCAGTAGAATTAGTTGGAAAATAAAGCTGCACGCAGCTCCAAATAACTATGGTCTTGCTTGCCCTTTTTTGCTGTTGTTGTCAAGTGGTTGCTAAGAACTTTAGATAACGTACTGGAATGACATTCTGATTCTATATAACTGTTGATCGGAACATAACATTCTTTCGTTATCTACATTGCAAAAGAAAACCCTTACTTTTACGATTTAGTCAGTCTTGCCCAACGACTATCTTTTGATTATGTTTTCCTATTGTTAATTCGATGAATTAACCAGTCTACTCCAATGTATCATTTACAAAGTATATTTGTTTATTATACGACCTTGTGAGCATGGTTTCGACGGCAGTTATTAATAACGCGAGTCCATTTTTTATGGAAACAAACTCACTCGGCGCAAAAAATCAACAAAACGACGCAACCAATGAATCAACTATTTTAAAAGCCTACGTTACCCGCCCAGTACTAAAATATATG